CCTGATGGCCTCCGGCTTGGTCTCCGGCTTGCCAGCACAAGAAAAACGCAAGAAGCGGCTCCGCTCAGGCCAGGTGCCTGAACGCAAACAGGACTTGCGTTGAAACCTGGGCCGGTTTCTGTCATCAAACGTCTGATCAAGATCATGCTGTAGCGGCTCCGAAGAGTGGCCCTCACGCTCAATATCAAACACGGATTTGACATGGAAGGCAGCACCACGTCGCACACGCGCGGAACCATGAGACTGCAGGCGCTTGCTGGCACCAGGCAAGTAGATGCCAGTGCGCAACTCGAAGTCAATGGCAAGCTCTAAGTCAGTGGTCCCACGTGTTGATTCAAGAGGCACATCAGGCCAGCGCAGCTGTGAGATATACTAAGTAAGGGCTTGACACAAAGGCGAAGAGCCCGAGAAAAGGGTTTCCCAAAAGTGGTACAGGGGCCAGGAAAATCATCAGGGTGAAAAATAAAATCAAGCTTAGAGTTATTGCCTAGTTCAGTGGATGGTTCAGTGTGCACCTCACGGGTGGCATGAGTCAGCAAGCTCGTTTTCAAAGGCACGCAAAGGCGAAGCAGTCTAGTAGTACCTTGCTATGCTGCCGTAACCTAACAAAGGGTTGCCGTCAGCCGTGGAGCCGGAATACATCCGGAAGAGGGTGAAACCAATTTGTAGAATCATTGGCTGAGTTGTGTTTTCCGCGTAAGGCGGAACCGTGGTTTAACATCAGCGTGGTTGGAACTGGAAGTCGGTGCTCGGGGGCACAGCGATCCCATGACTGCCTTCAAGTTCCTGCGTGCGACTTGTTTGCCACAAACTGCACAGCATGGGTTGAGGATGTGTTCGATGATATGCTTACCAAGCTGAGAAGCAGTTTCGTTACGCTTGTCAACGGCTTGGCGACGTTCTTCTGTCCTTGTTTTGGATAGCGTAGTTGCACGAGTGGTAGATCCCTTTTCATCTGCAAGAGTGGAAATCATAGGGCATTGGTTGTTGGCAAAACGAAGCCCGTGGTATCTGTGTACTGAGACTTTGCAAAAGCGACAGGTGGGCTTGTCGGCATTTTCCACAAAGCGTCGCCCTGCTTTCTCCGCACTTTGATTTAGCTCGTGCAACTGCGTTGTTAGTTGTTGTGTGTGCTTTACAGCCCGTTTGGCGCCTCTGCTCAAGGGCGCGTTGTTCTCCTCGATTTCTTGGAAGAATTGTTGAACCCGCTGGGCGGCAAGGTTCTCAGTGGTGAAAGGTCCAAATCTCTGCCTTTTTCCCTTGAACGGGATGACCACTTTGTAGAGGCCGGTTTTTTAACGTTGTTCTGGACGTATTGATATTTGGACCCGCCGGGTCTGTTGGATGTGGAGAGTAGTAAGCCTTCCGAGTCGGGAAGGCTCTTGCGTGAGCGTTTGCTCACGGGGATTGCGAGCGTTTGCTGTCCGAACTTGGTTGCGCCGCGCTTAGAGAAGAATGCAGCCGGACATCGCTGGGTTCGATTCTGGCGTAGAGAGTTGGGTCGAAGTCGTCTGGAGGGTCGGCGGGCTCAGCATCGTTGTGTGCCTTGATGATGTCTACCATCATGCGTTGAATGTTTTGTGCCAGTGGGCAAGTGTGCGCAGGTAAAGGAATCGCGGGTTGGTTTTGCGTTAAGGAGAGGTGGTTACTAACGACGGAAATTGCTTGTGCCTGGGTAGTGGCAAAAATGCCAGTCCGCAATGTGACCGGGGGAAGAAGGAGAGCCTGCTGAAGCTGGTAGTGTTCAAGGCGGTGTTGCCGAATGTGCGACCACGCGGCGCAGTGCCAGAAAAGGTGGAGATGGTCCTCATGCCCGGACCAACAGAATGGACACACCGGGTGGTCGGCCTGTTTATTTTGGTAACGGATGCTCTGAGTGTATATGGCGCCGCAAGTGTTGAGCGAAGAATACCGCGGTCATATTCGTTCATATGGCTGCGTAGGAGTTGGAGGGTTGTGGCTTTATCCACGCCGTTCTGTATGCCACGGAGTTCCTTTCTATTGGCCGAGGCGCGTGTCCAGAGCATGCGAGAGCATCCAGCACGTATGACATGTGAGTAGTATTCGTTGGAGAGTTTCAAAATGTGTAACGTGATGTGTTGACCATGGCCCACCGGAACGAGGAACGCAAAGGGTGAGAACCATGTCCAGCCCATGTCGTTGCAAGCAAATTGTAGTCTCGCCATGGGTCCCACGCATTGGGATCGGCCATCTCGGATGTTGCCACGTGAGTTGGCTGAGACAACCACTGCGGGACGAGCCCGGGGTTTTTCAAGAGCTGCCGACGGGCAATTTTGAAAGGGGTAATAACCCGTAGCTGCGTTGGATCAAACTTATGTCCTTTATGACAGAGTGAAAGTACGACGTCGGCTGACTTTCTGTCGCGGCCCCGCCAGATGGCTTTGAGCACCACGTTGCGGAGTTATTTTTCAATCTTTTTGTCACACGGGCCAAGCTCAAGGCCAAAGTTGTATTTGGCGGCACCGGCCATGACGAGTAGATTCTCTCTGGTCGCGATGTTGAGTGGACAGATAGAGATGCGCTCTGCCGTGGTGATGTAATTTTTTGCACGGTTGTTGGCGAGGAAGCGCGGTCTCCTTTTGGTAAAGGAGAATTGCCCACACAAGAGCCGATCGTCCGGGACTTGTTTGATCTGTTGCCCACGAAGGTTGACGTCGGTGAGCTGTTTCCTGCCTGAAGCGGTGGTAGCAAAAACCACCGTTTTGTCTGGATTGACAATGGCATCGATGCGGTCGTCGAAATCCGCTGTGAAATTGATGGTCTCTTGTAGTTGGTCGAGTGAGTTTGCTCTTGCATTTTTATCGTCGATGAAGGCTCCTATGGAGCACAATGCCGTGGGAGGGTGGTGTTGCACTGAGCGTGCCCAAGCTGCGATGAGGCAGTTGATTCTCAGAATCGCCAGCGGGCAACCTTGCATGATGGAGTTGGTGTTGGGGAACGCAGGCCCCACACTGTCACCAAGTCGAAATCTCCGAGATATGTGCTTCGAATAGGCGAACATGGCTGCCTGGACCGAGGGTGGCATGCCTAAGTCACGAAGCAGCCCGGATTCTATTGTCCAAGCAACGTTGTCGAAGAATGCCGAACAAGGGATGGTTTGAGTTGTGGGAATGTTCGACTTCAAGCGGTGTAGTTGGCCCAGTCACCCCAAGCGCTGCCAGTGAGACCATCCTGCATGCTGCACAAGAATCACTTCATGCAAAACAAACAGAAAAATTACTTCGCTTCGAGCAACCCCCACCCTCCACACTCACGAGCTTACGACCGTCAAACTCCACTTGTCTGCGAACTGATCTCGAGAACTCAAACATCGGTTCCGTTAACAAAAGCCAAGCCCCTTCCAAACACAAACCTGACGGGGGATTAAACGAAGTTGCTTATTCACAACCCAAAGCAACACAAAAGCTTCCCTTTCCGATCTCTCGCAAAACACGAGGGCAGCCCCACTGCGCGCCGGGCGGGACATTAAGCAAAACCAGACTGGCGAGCTTTTCTGGCGGGACACTGGCGGGATCCACTGGCGAATAATGGCGAGCCGCTCCGGCTTGATACTGGGAGGATACTCGGCAGGATCCACTGGCAAGGGATACTCAGCGGGATACTCGGCGGGATCCACTGGCGAGCTACTGTGTGGGATACTCAGCGGGATACTCGGCGGGATCCACTGGCGAGCTACTGTGTGGGATCCACTGGCGAGCTACTCTGGCGGGATACTCGGCGGGATCCACTGGCGAGCCTCTCTGGCAGAATACTCGGCGGGATCCACTGGCGAGCCGCTCTGGCAGAATACTCGGCGGGATCCACTGGCGAGCGGCTCGGCGGGATACTCGGCGGGATCCACTGGCGAGCCGCTCTGGTGGGATACTCGGCGGGATCCACTGGCGAGCAGCCCTGGCGGGATACTGGGCGGGATCCACTGGCAAGCAGCTCTGGGGATACTTGGCGGGATCCACTGGAGAGCTGCTCTGGCGGGATACTGGGTGGGGGCGTGGTGTAGAAGCATCGCAAACGTGGATTCCAACATAAAATCTAACAACCCCTTCCTGTCGGGTGGGGAACAAACAAGGAATACTGTAAGCAAACCCACAGATTCTCTACCAAGGTAACACAGCTGGATGCTACCAAACCAGCAAGCGAACCAAGGACCGAACAACTCAAACAAATCAAAGCCAAGTAGCAAACAAGCAAGCAGAAAGACAAACTAACAAACCAGCAAACCAAACAAACAAGCAAACAGACAAACAAACATACAAACAAACAAACAAACAAACAAACAAACAAACAAACAAACAAACAGCCAACAAAACAAACAAACAAACAAACAAACAAACAAACAGCCAGCCAACCAAACAAACAAACAAACAAACAAAACAGCCACACAAACTACTCAAGCAAGCAAGCAAGCAAGCAAGCAAGCAAGCAAGCAAACAAACAAACAAACAAACAGCCACACAAACAGACAAACAAACAGACAAACAAACAAATCAAAACGAGCAACAGAACGCAAACTAACAAACAATCAAACTAACAAATAAAGCAAAATAAGGACATGCAGACAGACAAACAAACAAACAAACAAGAAAACAAATAGACAATCAAACAAAGCAGACAAAACAAGCAAAGCCGGCAAAATTACATAGAAAACAAAAGTGCATCACAAAAGACAGACAGACAGACAGACAGACACACAGACAGACAAACAGACAGACAGGCAGACAGACAGACAGCCAGACAGACAGACAAACAAACAAACAAGAAAGCAAGAACACAAGCAAGCCACAAACCAAGAAAACAAGAGAACAAACACAAACAAACAAAGATTAGCCTGCCCAGTGTAAATAATGTTGTTGTCACAAAGCACACCGAATAATGTGCTGATGCACCAACAATGCCAAATGCGCAGCGGTTTGCGAGTAAACATGTTTACCACATGTCAGACTTCGCATGTCTCTCCAACTTTCTGTCATCACTCACCAAGCCTGGAAAAACATGCCGATGATGGCCATCATCGCAAGTCTTCCGTTGGCCAACTCGGCCGCTAGCTTCGTCTTCTTCGCCTCCGGGTCAGAGGCAGTCAGCACCTTGAATCCGAAGTCACCCGCCGCAGCAGGAGTTCCCGCCGACTGGTCCTGGGACACCTCGCAGAAGGCCATGTAAGCTAAGATCTGACCCCACCCAGCAGCAGGCACTTTCGAAATCGCAGCCAGGCCATTGGGCACGTCGGCGAACTTCAGACCAGCGGAAGGGCTCAGATAGCCCGGGAATTTTCCGGTGATCTCGGGGGTAATGTATCCCATTGTGGCCTTCGTCAATGTTTAAACCCAAAGCTGGATAATAACTGTAAACATGTTCGGACGCCATCATTTTAGCACAAGGCAAAGATGTAAGGTATTACTGAACCTCGATCAAGCGGCAAGCATGGAGATGCGACCATGCTTCAGCTCCGTCTGGCGACGTCGGGCGAAGTTCTCAGTGCTGCCATCGGCCGTGAACCCTGCCGGGTCCCAGAACCCCACCGGTGCTTGCACTCCAAGCTCGTTTTCAAAGGCACGCAAAGGCGAAGCGGTGTAGTTGGCCCAGTCACCCCAAGCGCTGCCAGTGAGACCATCCTGCATGCTGCACAAGACTCGATTCATGCAAAACATACCGAAAAACCAGCAAATAATACTGTAATGCAAGCGAACCAACAGATTCTCTACCAAGGCAACACAGCCGGATGTTACCAAAGCAGCAAGCAAACCAAGGACCGAACAACTCAAACAATGCACAAACAAGTAGCAAACAAGCAAGCAAACAAACTAATTGACAAACACAAACAAACAAAAAAACAAACAAACAAACAAACAAACAAACAAACAAAGGAATACAACACAACACAACACAACACAGCACAGCACAGCACAACACAACACAACACAACAACACACAAGTACTCAACAAACAAACAAACAAGCAAGCAAGAAAACAAACAAACAAATAGTTCAAAATAATAATAATAATAATAAACCCATCAAACAAAGCAGCAAGCACAAAAAAGAAACAGTAAACAAAACAAGCCCGGCAAGCAATCATAACAGCAAGCACGAAAGCAAACAAGCACGCACCTATGCATTCAAACACAAAAGCGAACAAACAAACAAACAAACAAACAAACAAACAAACAAACAAACAAACAGACAAACAGACAAACAAACATACATACATTGCATTACATCACATTACATTACATCACATCACATCACATCACATTACATTACATTACATTACATACATACAATACAATGCGTACATACACAAATACATACACACATACATACCTACATACATACATACATACATACATACATACATACATACAGTAAATTACACTACATTATGTTGCATTACATTACATTACATTAAGTTACATTGAATTACAGACATACATACATACATACACTACACTACACTACACTACACTACATTACATTACATTACATTACATTACATTAGATTACATTAGATTACATACATACACACACATACGTACATACATACATACATACACACACATGCATACATTACATACATACATGCATAGATACATACATGTATATACATACATACATGCATACATACATGCATGCATGGATACATACATGTATATACATACATACATACATACATACATACAAACATACATACATACATTACATACATACATACATACATACATACATACATACATACATACATACATACATTACATACATACATACATACATACATACATACATACATACATACA